CCAAAAAAAAAAAAAGTGGCAACTCTGCAAAAATCATAACAAACTACTAATATGTGATCCTCCATTAACAATTATGACAGAAATAGGTCAGAGAGAACTAGATGATTTAAAAGGTCCTTTTTCTAATTCTAAAATCATATGATTTAATCAATGATTCATATTAAATACTTATGTGGTAAGCACTGTGAAAGATACAAACCAAATGTTACAGAACTACTGAGTCAAGGAATTAAATGCTACAGAAGGTATATAGGTTCAATTTTATAAGAGTACCTCACAAAATCCAGTTAAACTGCTTACTATATCAGGCTATGGTCTATCTATCCATCAAATAAAGAAAAGACAAAGGGCTGTGTGAAAGTAGTTCATGTCTATAATCCTAGCTACTCAGGAAGCTGAGATCTATAGATCATGGTTTGAAGCCAGTCTAGGCAAGAAAGCCCAAGAGATTCTTACTTCCAATTACCTACCAAAAAAGCCAGTAGTGGGGTTGTGGCTCAAGTTGTAGACCACTAGCCTTGAGTAAAATCTCTCAGGGACAGTGCCTAACCCTAAGTTCAAGCCCTAGGGTCAATATCAAATAAGGAAAGAAAAGACAAAGGGACTTCTAAAAGACACATCAGAAATTACTACTAGCTGCTATTAATATATATGTGGCAGAAACTGCATTCTTTCTTCACAAATAAAGAACCAATGAGGGCTGGGAAGGTGGCTCAGTGGTAGAGTGCTTGTCTTGCATGCATGAGGCCCTGGGTTCGATTCTTCAGGACCACATAAGCAGAAAAGCCAAAAGTGGCGCTGTGGCTCAAGTGGTAGAGGGCTAACCTTGAGCTGAAGAGCTGAGGGACAGTGCCCAGGCCCAGAGTTCAGGCCCACAACCAACAAAAAAATAATAAATAAATAAAAATAAAGAACCAATGAGTGGGGCTGGGAAGGTGGCTCAGTGGTAGAGTGCTTGCTTTGCATGCATGAGGCCCTGGGTTTGATTTCTCAGCACCACATAAGCAGAAAAAGTTGGAAGTGGGGCTGTGGTGGCTCACACCTGTAATCCTAGCTACTCAGGAGGCTGAGATCTGAGGATCATGATACAAAGCCACCCCAGGCAGGAAAGTGCATGAAACTCCATAAACCACTAGAAAACCGGAAGTGGCACTGTGGCTCAAGTGGTAGAGCGCTCGCCTTGAGCTGAAGGGCTGAGGGATAGTGCCCAGGCCCAGAGTTTAAATAAATAAATAAAATATGCCTAAAAAGCATACAACCATTTGTTAAAGTTCTACTTTGATATTACTATGTAATGCTATTATATAAAAAATTATCTATAACCAGACACTGGTGGCTCATGCCTGTAATCCTAGCTACTCAGGAGGGTGCAATCTGAGAATCACAGATCAAAGCCAGTCTGGGCAGGAAAAGTCTGTGAGATTTTTGTCTCAAAAAATGGGCTGGGAAGGTGGCTCAGTGGTAGAGCACTTGCCTTGCATGCATGAGGCCCTGGGTTCGATTCCTCAGCACCACATAAACAAAAAGAAAAAGCCGGAAGTGGCGCTGTGGCTCAAGTGGTAGAGTGCTAGGGACAGCACCCAGGCCCAGAGTTCAGGCCCCGCGACTGGACCCAAAAAACAAAAACAATAACATTTGGGAGGGGGCGGGAGGAGGATGGGAAGGAATGGGAAAGGGAAACAAAGGAGGAGGCTACAATGCTTGATAAGAAATGTACTCATTATCTTGCCCATGTAATTGTAACCCCTCTGTACAGTATTTTCACAATATATAAATAAATATCAGAAAACCAGAAGTAGAGAAGTGGCTCAAAGTGGTAGAACATGAACCTTGAGCAAAAAGAGCTTAGGGTCAGTGCCCAGGACCTGAGTTCAAACCCTACAACTTAATATAGATATAGATATAAAAACATATTCTTATTCTTCACTACAATTTCCTTTTGTTGTTGTTGCTATTGTTGTTGTTGGTTGTCAGGCCTGAACTCTGGGTCTGGCGCTGTTCCTAAGCTCTTCAGCTCAAGGCTAGCGCTCTACCACTTGAGCCACAGTGCCACTTCCAGCTTTTTCTGCTTATGTGGTTCTGGGTAATCGAACTCAGGACCTCATGCATGCAAGGCAAGCACTCTATCACTGAGCCACCTTCGCAACCCTACAATTTTCTTTTAAGCAGAAGAATGACAGAGAAGTAAAAGTGAAATATGGAGTTTGTCATGTGAACATGAAATTCATACATTACTTAAAAGGAAAAACAAAGTCTACCTCTGCATTATGTTTAGTTGTCATGTCTAGTTTTTCTTTTTTAGCCCGATGGAGTTTCTTTCTGAGATCAGTAGTAATATCTGACTCTGTTTCACTCTTAAGCATTTGTTTTACTTCCAAAGAAACATTCTTCAACCTACAAAATAAGGTCATAATAAAATATAATTTTCATAAAACATTTCACAGCATTTCTGATATTTCTGGAAATCTATTTTTCAAAAACACAGGGAACACATTGCAACAATGAGATGTACAAGTCATTATGTTGAAAAACGAACTTTACAACTTTGGTTGGGGGGAGGGGGATGGGGAGGATACAAAGGGATGGGAAGGGGAAACAAAGGAGGAGGCTACAATGCTTGATAAGAAATGTGCTCATTATCTTACCCATGTAATTATAACCCCTCTGTACAGTATTTTCACAATAAAAAAAAAACCACAGGGAACATAAGGTCCTTGGCTTAAAGAATTTTCAATGTAATCAAAATATTTTATGTAAAAGTTAGATTAAAACACAAAGTAATATATTCCTAGTAACAAAACATTATCCACTACAAATCCACTACATCGTTTAAGATTGGCATTTAAATTGTCTGACCAGGGGCTGGGAAGATGGCTCAGTGGTAGAGCACTTGCCTTGCATGCCTGAGGCCCTGGGTTCGATTCCTCAGCACCACATAAGCAAAAAGAAAAAAAAAAAAGCCGGAAGTGGCGCTGTGACTCAAGTGGTAGAGCGTTAGCCTTGAGCTGAAGAGCTGAGGGACAGTGCCTAGGCCTAGAGTTCAGGCCCCACGACTGGACCCCCTAAATTGTCTGACCATATCACATGCTGGGTAGCTTTGGAAGATACTAAGGATATTTTCATTTTCTTTTATTAAAATATATTTCATTTAGTATAATTGCAATATATATTACAAACGAAAGAGTACAAATAAGAGAATACAGATGCTTGCCCTAAAATGACAGACTAAAAAGTACTCTACCCTGTCCTTCCCCAAAAAAAATGTTAAGTATCAGCAAACAGAATTTAGAAATAGAACTGAAAAGCAAAAGAGCATGGAAGATGAAACAGCAATAAAATGTGAAGCTAAAAAGCAATTTTGGATAAGTAACAGATCTATCTACAAAAATGGGAAGCTAAAAAGCAATTTTGGATAAGTGATCTATTTTAGAAAGTTTAATTAAAAGCAAGCAGTAATGAGACAGAGGAGAAACAGGCAGAGCTACCACCACCTGGCCCAGCCCACAAGCATCTCAACTGAACACTGATTGCAGTGGCAACCAGTGACCTACATTGCACAGAAACAACAACTAGCTCCAGGGTGAGTACCCCACAGGGGACAGCATATCCCTCCTCAAGGGAGACCAGAGCTGGTGGGAACCGCCAGATCTTGACCCAGACCCCTACCCCAACACCTGTACTACAGGACCCACTAAAACTGGGAACTGTTGGAGAGCTCCACCAGCCTGTGGACCACATCCAACCAGCCAGGTTAGATCAAGAGTGACCCTGGAAGGGAGCTTAAACATCCAAGCCAGGAGAAGCGCCCCTGGGTCACAACAGCCAACAGTGGAAGAAACCTGAACAGTTTACTCCAGGCTGCGTAACCCGGGCGGGATACACAGCAGCACAGGTCCAACTGGTGTGCCCCAGGCTGGGGACCGGGAGCCAGGACCAGGCCTGAAGATCAGGTGCCTGAGCAACACAACCAACTCATCTCCATTGAAGTCAGAAACTGAGCATACGCCTCAGCAGAGAGGGGGAAACAGGGAACTGCACCCCCTGGGAATCACTCCCGTGACAGCAAAAGACCTGGGTGTCCAGGGCAAGAGAACCAGAAGCTCAAACCCGACCCATATATCCCAGGCTGAGAATTGGACAACTCAGGCTGCCAGCACCTGATAATAGTCAGGAGCTCAGCCTGGTAAGGTGGCTCAGCAGTAGAGTGCTTGCCTTGTGTGCATGAGGCCCTGGATCTGATTCTTCAGCACCACATAAGCAGAAAGGGCCAGAAATGGTGCTGTGGCTCAAATGGTAGGGCACCAGCCTTGAGCTGAAGAGCTGAGGGACAGCGCCCAGGCCCAGAGTTCGGGCCCACAACCGGCAAAAAAAAAAAAAAAAAAATCAGGAGCCCATAGCAGACTCCAGCAACTGGGAGAGTACATCCAGCACACCCTATCTCGCCAAGAGCACCTGTAGGAGTAAACAGGAGCAGTCTAGGCCGGTCAGTCCTTCTAAAGCAGGAACTGCCAGTGATCTACAACAGACAGCCAAGAGCCCTATATGAGTCAGACCAACTGCTGGAGGTCAGCCTCCAAGAGAACCGAAACCAGGTACAGGCTGTCTCCGCCAACCCAGAAACAGCAACCAAGCAAAGACAGACACCTATTGACCAAAACAAAATTTCAGATTAGTCTCCAATAATCCCTCAATCCCCATGTGAAAATCAGAGAAAAATTACAAGGTTTATCAACACCCAGAATAGCAAGCTACCCCCAAAAGCCAGCAGCCACCCAGGGAAGAGCCCCAGTGGGAGCAAAGCAGAAATGAAAGACAAAAGCTACATCCAAGAGATGCTGGAGGCAATGACTCAAGAATTAAAGCAAAAAATAGATCAGAAATTTAAAGAACACAGGGACGAACTATCAAAAGAGATGCAAGATTTCAAACAGGAGGTGCATGCAAAAATAGAGGCAGTACACACCTCACTAAGAGGTCAGATTAGTACAAAAATAGAGGCAATACACACCTCACTAAGAGGTGAGATTAGTACTTTGAGAACCAACATTGAATCCATATCCATTTCCTCCATGCAAACCACAATGAATAGTGAATGAAATGGAATGAATGAAATGGAATTTAGAGTGTCAGATACAGAAGACAGAATGCACCAACTGAACCAAAAAGTCACAGATATGAAAAAAATCACTTAAATTATGCCAAAGGGAAATCTAAGAGTAGCAGATAATGCCAAGAAATTTGACCTTTGTATAACTGGTGTTGACGAAGGCAAAGAATATCAAAGCAAGGGAATGCAACAGCTATTCAACAAGATTATCAATGAAAAATTCCCCCATATTAAAAGAGAACATCTTACCTACATAACAGAAGCATATAGAACACCTAACAAGCAGGATCCCAGGAGAAACACTTCTAGACACATTATAGTAAAAATGATATAATAAGGAATAATAAGGAAACAATCTTGCATGCAGCAAAAACAAAGAAGGAGCTATACAACAATGGGAAAATTAGAATCACTGCAGATCTCTCCACACAGACACTGAATTCAAGAAAGACCTGGGAAAGTACCATCTGAGTCCTGAGAACCAATAATAGCCAGCCTAGACTGATACACTCAACAAGGCTAGTATTCACATTCGATGGAGAAACTAAAATTTTTAATAGTAAAGAAAAACTAAATGAATTCATAAACAATAAGACAGCATTACAAAGAATACTAAGAGGGGGAACACAACCTGAAGAAAGCAACCAGGAATGGAGACCCACACCAGACAGGCATTAATAAAAGTCTAACTGAGTAAGCACAGGAGGAAAGGAAAGAAGAAAAACTTAGGAAAACAGGGAATGACAGGGACCACAATGCATCTCTCTATATTAACCTTAAATATTAACAGACTTAATTCACCAATCAAAAGAAAAAGAACTGCAGATTGGATTAGAAAACATGACCCACACCAGGCTCGCCTGTAATCCTAGCTACTCAGCAGGCTGAGATCTGAGGATCACAGTTCAAAGCCAGCCCGGGCAGGAAACTCCATGAGACTCTTTTTTTTTTT